GGGAGAGGGGTGGGATGGGAGAACCAGGTGGGGAGATACGGGGGGGAAAAAAGAGAAACAACTGTAATAATCTGAACAATAAAGATTTAATTAAAAAAAAACACATTGAAAAACATTTAGCCCCGCCCTTGATGATTTGGCTCAGTGGACAGAGCATCAGCCAGTCCCGGGTTCAATTCAAGGGCACTTACCTCGATTATAGGCTGGCTCCTCCCTGGTCCGGGTCCTGGTCAAGGCTTGTGCAGGAGGCAACTAATTGATGTGTTTCTCTCACATTGTTATTTCTCTCTTTACCTCTCTCTTCCACTCTCTCTGAAAATCTACAGGAAAATATTGAGGATTTAAAAAATTATGAAAATGAAAGAAGGGGAAGGGTAGGAGAGGGGAGAAATGGAGGGGAAAGAAGAAAGAGAGGAGAGGAGAGAGAGAGGGAAAGGAAGAGACGTTTAGCCCGGCCGGTGTGGCTCAGTGGTTGAGCATCGACCCAAGAACCAAGAGGTCACCAATTTGATTCCTGGTCAGGGTACCAGGTTTCCGGCTTGATCCCCAGTAGAGAGCATGCCCATCAATGATGTTTCTCTCTCATCTCATCAATGTTTCTATATCTCTCTTCCTCTCTAAAATTCAATTAAAAAGCCAATATATTTAAATAAAAGCACATTGAAAAACGTTTAAAGTGAAGTATGATATCCTATATAATAAAAGGCTAATATGCAAATTGACTGAACGGCGGGACGACTGGTCGCTATGATGTGTAGTGACCACCAGGGGGCAGACGCTCAACACAGGAGCTGCCCCCTGGTTGTCAGTGTGCTCCAGAAGCCCTAAGCCGGGGTCATGGCTGGCAAGTGGCACTAAGGATGTCCTATTGCCAGCTTAGGCCTGCTACCCCACTCCCACCCCGCCCCACCCGCTGTCAGTTGGACATCCCCAGAGGGCTCCCAGACTGCCAGAGGGTGCAAGCAAGGCTGAGCCCCCCGCCCCCGCATGCACGAATTTCGTGCACTGGGCCTCTAGTACCTACATAAAAATCCCATTGTCAGTGTACAATACAGCTTAATAAATTTTTACAAACTGCAAACCTTGTTACCAGAATTAAGAAATGGAATGTTACCCTCACCCCAGAAGCTCACTTCTCCTCTCCAATCACAACACTCCACTCGCCCTCAAAAGGACAATTATGCCTTGCTGGCATGGCTCAGTGGTTGAGCATTGACCTATGAACCAGGAGGTCACAGTTCAACTCCAGTTGGGGTACATGCATGGACTGCATAATAGAATGGATATATAAATAGAATGGCTTGATCCCGTGTGGGGCATGCAGGAGGCAGCAGATTGATGATTCTTTCTCATCATTGATGTTTCTATCTCTCTCCCTTCTTTGAAATCAATAAAAATATATTAAAAGCTTTTCTTTGCTTAGCTGGAGGACATTCTCAGGTAACTTCCTGAAAAAGAGGGTGTGTATGGGAGCCATGAGGAATACCCTTCAATCACAAGTCTTGCCTCAAGATGTTGCCATGGAATATCAGAGACAAAAATGACCTTGAGACTGGAGACAGAATAAACTGGTGGCAATGCTTGGGTGTGACATACCTATGACCGCAAGGACCACTGGGATTACGCTGTCATTAAGACTTTCCCCTTCACTCCATTCACCTGCCTAATCTTCAGCTACAGTCATGATATATTATGATCATTACCATTTTACTTTTATTACACAAATGAAAAAATTTTGCTGTTGAAACATTGGAACATACTCAAAACTAGTAACAAAATTATTAAAACCACCCACAATTCTAACACCTAGAGATGACTGCAGTGAATCTCTTGGGAGGTGTTCCAATCCCTGGAAGTGAATGGCTGAGAAGATATAAGCGTCATTAAAACATATGGGCCTCCTCTTCCACCCCTGTGCTCTCTATTAATTCACTTGTAGAACATTCTACATTTTGCCATGGTTATTTGTTCAACAACTATTTATGAATTACTATTTACTATATATATGTGTATATATATATTTTTTAAGACAACCACTAGCCTGACTTTTAACAGATTTTGCCAAGTTTTGTCTATTATAGAAGAGAATCATACAGTATGTATTTTATATCTGGTTTCTCACATTATGTTAGTGATATTCATCTACATTGTTTACTCATGTCCATTGTAAATATATACATTTTATATATCCATTCTATTATTGATGGGAATATGGGTAATTTCCACTATTTGTCTATTACAAATAATGCTGTTATGAATATACAAAATCTAGTCTTTTGCTAGAAACAGAATTTCTTAGTCATAAAATATACATTATATTTAACAGCAAGTTTCCATAGTGATTGACCCAATAGACGCTTCCAGCATACAAGTGTGCCAGTTGCTTTACATGTTTGGGGCATAATGATTTTGTTTTGTTCTTGTACCTAGAACACTGCCATAGTTACTCATCTACCTATACAATAGGTGCAACCAGTGTCCAATTCTGTTGAATGAATCTGAACATAGATGGCATTTAAAGCTGCGGGCTTTCATCGTCTTGGAAGAAGTATGATTAGAGAAGAAGGCTGATGAATAAGCCTTGGGTGACTCCCACATTTAGAGAACTGGCAGATGGGGCACAAGAACAGGAAGAAGAAAATGGGAGAGCATGAAATTCTGCAAACCAAGAGAAATGTGTTCCAAGGGGGCAGTCAACCGCTTTGAATGCTGTCAAGAGATCATAAGATTCAGTGCGGAAAGGGTCCAGAGTTCTGTTTTTGGTCATTTCAAGCTTTAAGAAGTTAAGCATTAAATCATTCAAGTGGAGACCTTAAATGGGCAACTGGCTATAGGAATTTGGAGTTTAGAACCTGCTATGTAAGTCTGGTATTTATGAGTGTAAATTTGTGAAGGAGAGAGTGTACATGGAGGAGATGGGGACCCAGCCTTGACGCATGATGCATTTCCACTTATAAGCTGAACAGAGGTAAACACCTGCAAAGCAGTGTTAAATGTCTGGTAAGGTAGGAGAGAAGTCTGGAAAGTGTTTTGTTACTGAGATAATGACATCAATTGTGTGAAATGTTGGTGAGTTTCAACGAAAACAGGAAAATAATCACTGGGTTTAACAACTACTAATTAGTAACTACTCTTGTCAACAGATACTCTTCTATTACATTACTCTGAGTGGCTGCAAAGAATCCCATTGTATGGCTGTACCAAAATTTGCTCAGCCAGTCCCACTGTTGAATTCTTTAGATTCTTCCCAAACCTTTAGAACAGCCGTGGGGAAACTACGGCCCACGGATCCGGCCCGTTTGAAATGAACTAAAAAAAAAAAAAAGACCATACCCTTTTATGCAATGATGTTTACTTTGAATTTATATTCGTTCACACAAACACTCCATCCATGCTTTTGTTCCGGCCCTCCGGGCCAGTTTAAGAACCCATTGTGGCCCTCGAGTCAAAAAGTTTGCCCACCCCTGCTTTAGAATCATAAGAAGAGTTCTCTAGAGCATGTTTTAGGGTTAGAATTCTAGATCAAGTAAGTATAAACCTTTTTTAAAATATATATTTTTTATTAATTTCTGAGAGGAAGGAAGAGGGAGAGATAGAAATATTGATGAGAGATGATCATTGATTAGCTGCCTCCTGCACACTCCCCACTGGGGATCAAGCCCGAAACCTGGGCATGTGCTCTTGACCAGAATCGAATCTGGGACTCTTTAGTCCACAGGTCGATGCTCTATCCACTGACCAAACTGGCTAGGGGTTAAAAGCTTTTTTTTTTTTTTTTTAGTTAAGGTGTTACAAATGTTTCCTTATCCCCCTCCCCCCCCCCATTAACCCTCAACCGGTTTAAAAGCTTTTTATACAGCTACCAAACTATGCTCTAGAAAGGTTTTACTAAGTTCTACCATGACCCAAAGGATACAGTAACTGTAAAAACAAAAACAACTTTGCCATTTTGATAGGTGATGTGGTATCTTATACTTGCATTTTTATTAATGAAGTCTAATACGTTTGTTGATCATTAGGTACTTACTAATAGCTTGCCCATATCTCTCGCTTCAAATGAGAGTTACAGAGCAAACTGTATGGTAAAATATTCAGAAGATTACCAGCCGGTTTGGCTCAGTGGATAGAGTGACGGCCTGCAGACTGAAGGGTCCTGGGCTTAATTCCAGGCCAAGGGCACATGCCTGGGTTGCAGGCTCCATCCCCTATAGGGGACGTGCAGGAGGCAGCCAATCAATGATTCCCTCTCATCACTGATATTTCTATCTCTCCGTCTCCCTTCTTCTCTGAAATAAAAAATACATTACAAAAAAATATTCAGAAGATTGAAATATTAGTTTAGTTAAGTGAAAAAAACATAAACAAAGGTATGAATCCCAGCTTGTGAATACACGAGCTGCATGACCCTGGTTAGGTAACTTCTCAGGTCCCATTTCTTTTCTGTGAAATGGGGATCAGTTCTGCACTTAAGTGTTATGAACTGTGTAGATGATATATATGCTGGAAATTATGACAATTATTTAAAGTTTTCCTAGTGCAAAAGTAACTGCGCCGTGGCACAGGAATCTAAAATACAAAGACTGTAGAGTAGTTGGTTAGTTTGGAACAACTGAGACGCTATTTCTGGCACTTCCCCCAACCCATTCCAATTCCTTGCCGCCTCCTCCTGCGCGTGGTTGGCGTCACCATGGCAATAAGCACGCGGCCCAAGCACAATTCTCTGACAGTTGCTGACCTCGGCCGCTTACTGGCCTTGGCCTGGGACTCCAAGGCGCGTCCCATTCTCTCAGGCGGCTGAGGGCTAGGGACCGAGGAGCAGCATGGACAAGGCGGCGGCCTCTTCGCCGCTGGAGGACTTGGATCTGAGCGGAGAGGAGGTCCAGCGGCTCACCTCCGCCTTTCAGGACCCCGAGTTCCGGCGAATGTTTTCCGAGTACGCCGAGGAGCTCACGGACCCCGAGAACCGGCGGCGCTACGAAGCGGAGATCACCGCGCTGGAGCGTGAGCGCGGAGTGGAGGTGCAGTTCGTGCACCCGGAGCCCGGCCACGTGCTGCGCACTAGCCTGGACGGGGCGCGGCGCTGCTACGTGAACGTGTGCAGCAACGCGCTGGTAG